AGAATGGAAAAAGTGAGTCTAGAGAATAAGAAGAAAAACTTGTGTAGAGGACTAGAGCAGATTGCCCTCCTTTTCCTGCCTTGATCTTCTTCGAGGTATTTATCAAATAGTTTGCTCCCATTCAAAACAAAATTTCATGAAAACTTGCCATTATAAGTGAAGAAGATATATAATTGAGTGGAGGCACATGCCTTCATTGGACCCTTAATGGATCCGCCTTTGAATCCGCAACTAAGGACACAATCTACGTCTTGAATTACTTTTAGATACACCTATGACATGTTTACTAATCCACAATTGGATTATGAGGAATTGAATTGAGGAGAATTAGCCATATGAATTGAGGAGAGTTATTTTCCAAATTCCTATTGAAGTTGTTTACTAAACCATATGGATTGAGGATAGTTAGATTATGGATTCCTATTGAAATTAGTGTATGAGCTCTACTAATTTCTAAAATATCCTTGTTGTTGGGTTAAAGTAGATGACAAATTTTAAAATTTTAAAATTGTGTGAGGATATAATGGGTAAAAAAGATGAATTCCTAATGGGTTAGTTCACAATGAATTAGAATACCATCTCCCACCCAAGAATTAAATTCTTCCAAAATCAAGTTTTCAATTCCTAATTTTGTGTAGGCCCTACTTACTTTTTAATTTCTTGATGTGAAGTAAACATAGAAATCTTCCATAATTGAAATTCAATTCATGATTAGTAAACACACTATGAATATAATCGCCCTCTTACTGGCCAAAAGCAACTAATTACCTAACCAGGAGAACATTAACACTTCAAATCATCCTCAAACAATAAAAACATGACGCAGAACAAAAAAAAAACAAAGGAGTTTCCATCCCAGAAACAAAAACCTCGGCACATCATCAAGGTCGAATCGGTATATTCATTTCTGTCTTGTTTGTGGAAATTGGGTATATCATATATGAGCTTTAGATTACACACACACATATATATAAGTGAGATCGTGGGATTAGAGAAATACATGTTGTTGCACCAAAACCCGAAGACCCCAATATTAATATCCATTTTTATAAATATATTGAGATGGTGCGATTCAGGTGATCAATTAGAAATAATACTGCCATCAACAACAAATTAATAGTTTTAATTAGTAGTTGAGAGTGCTTGAACACCTAAGTATATAATTAACTAGTTAATTACTTGTAGATTAGAAATTAATGACTTCTTTTGATAATAAACCCCATATAAATATTTTTCTTTTGTAAAAAAATTGGATTGAAACCTGCGAATCCAAAATGGGAAACAGTACTTATTCTTAGCTAGTTCAGAATGACTGGGTGAGCAGAGCAACAATATTAATATTATTCCAGCTAATTAGATCCTAATATATATATATTAAATATGATTTAGCGACGTGTCAGATTTAATTTATATTTTACAAATGTTTGAGTATTTTATGGTTTTTTTGATCTTGCTCTTGTATTTTAGTTTTTGATTCCCTCTGGTTGTTGGGGGGTGCAATTTGAAGGGCTGCTTAACGACTAGCAAATGCGATACGATTTATTTATACCCGAATCCATGAATACAGGGCCTCAGCTAGATTTTTTGTTTCTAAATTATAGAGTCCCTTGAGATTTATATAAAATAAGGTTTGAACTAGAATGCATACAAAATTCAACTTTTCAACTCAATTATATATAATATTGTTCCACATATCCTTAATCAAGATGACACTTTATGAATCATTGGGGTTAATCACCAATCAGAAAATGAATGAGGGGAAAACTGGAAGATAATTAACCGCATGTGTTAATGGTTAATTGCATTAGTAAAGATAGGTACATTACTACTCAGACACTTTATTTTATTTCTTATTCACTCTCCTCCTCGGATAAGAAATCTGTGTATCCCTCCCACATGGTTAACTTGGTTTCCGAGCCAGAAACACATGTTGGCTCCGTCTGTGTTTTCAAGTAAACAAAATCTCTCCCATTTGGTTCTTAAGTCTTAGTCAGATTCTCATTAGTTTCTTGAGACATGGGGCATTCAGTAACACCTTCTTGTTCTTCTTGCGGTTCAACCAAATCTCCATAATTCTTTAGAGAAATCATTCTGTCAGTACAACTAAAAACTTCCATACTATACATTGGACCTTTGAGTAGTACATTCTTCATGGAAATGCGTGTTAGATCGACAAAGAATATATTGTTACTGTCATAATTCTATTGGTTGAAAAATATGATGTGCTTCCATTCGCCACACTCAGAGAGACTAAGATTCCCAAGAGGAAGAGAAAGAAGATATTGTCCTGCATCTATTTTGTAATTTAGCACCCATTCTTTGTTACCATAATTATTTTTCAATGCCCATATCTGCATATATTTATCTTTTGATGAAGAAAATTCCACTAGAGCCAAAGATCCCTTGAAATTAAGCACTTGAAGAAAATTCCGAAGACTCGGCTTTTTCTCTAAGGCCGCAGGATGAGGAGTCCAATAGAACTTCTCTTTCTTGAAGTCGAAAGAAAGTATACGTATAGACGAGGAAGAAAAGTCTTTTGTATCTCCATTAACCAACCAACCAATGGCTGGGAGTTTCGAAGGCCAAGTGGTCTTCTTGTATGAACTTTTGATGCTTACACCAAGAACGTACAAGTGTAATTGTGATACGTACAAAGTGTAATTGCCAACCCTTTCCTCAGTTTGTGTTTTCCTTGGCCATCACCATCTGGGTCTAATTCAAAAGGCAAGTGTTTGGCATCACCATTTTGCAATTGTGTGCTTCCATTGCTATGACTTTCCTTACTATAAATTTGAGTGTAAGACATTGAATCTGTTCATAGAATAACTTAGTGCCAGACAAGCCAAGTATACCAATAAGCAACATGTACACTAGAAATACAAAGGTAGAGATATAGTTAACAAATGCAAATTCCCCCCAAAAACTTGATGGCTCATGTTGGCTAAACCAGCAGCAACATGCGCTGCGTCATTTGCTCTTCTCGACATCCACTGCCATTGGATAGTAGAGAAACAAGATGCATATATCCAAATTTCCTTCAATATAGGATAAAGTCTCCAGTTTCCAGTGGTGGTTCCTCCTGGGAACACACTCAATGACACTTTTAGCATCAGTTTCAATGATAACACTACTAAGATTGATCGTCTTTGCCAAGAAAACCCCAGCTAAGATAGCCTCAGTCTCAGCTTCTTCAACGGAACATCGTAACGGATACCGTGCCTCATCTGAGGCTATTTTGTCTATTTGATGTTAACAGAAATTCTTTTCTTTGAATAGTCTTGGCCGGTTAAGAACATTAAATTAATATGTCAGAAATTCCAGGCGAGCCTTCCATTGCTTTTGAGTTTTAAGTGTGGTTGATGATTTGTCCGAATGTTTCTATACCATGAATAAATTTTTTATTTAAGCTTTGGTTAGCAATCCTTGGTTTCGCTAAAATGAATAAATTCTTTCTTTCGTTTTGAGTCTTTCATAGCAAACACAAATATTGAAGAAAATTGGGCTAGCTGTCTCTGGCTATGTTGTCTTATAGTGATCATATATAATCTCATGCTTTTATGTTATATATGATTACTATAAAATTTTAATTCACTTTTCTGTAATTGGTTCTGATCTCACCCTGGTTTCATATGAGAGGATCGATGTTTCCCATTTTGACCATGGCCTTGGCAAAGTGATTGAAGAATGCGAAGGTGCTCTTTCGCAAAAGGTCAATAGTGGTACAATAGTGTTTGGTAATTAGCGATCTTGAATAGGTTTGGTGTTATGTAATAGAGTGACTATGGGTATTTTTGGTAGTTAAATATGGTGTAATTAGTTAATTTTACATTTTGATTTTAAATACTATGATGTAGTCAGTTAATTTTAAGGTTCATTTAACAACACCCTCTCATAATACAGTACTTAGAGTTCGGAAAGTAAACACCATTAACCTCTATCTCTTATAGCTTTCCGTATCCTAAGTTGCCTACGTGTTTCAACAGTTGATGTGATTAATTGTAAGTTTGTATTTGGCAATAAAAAGTAGTCTAATCAGTTTAAAGAACGAGCCCATTATTAATTATAACGGTGAATTTGGGCCTATCGCAACCCAACATCAACTCCCCATATCCAACTTCTACGCGCCTAAAAAATCATATGGACTTAAGTGGGGCTATTGTGATTCTTCTAAGAAAGGCCCAAACTGGAGACTGAAGCCCAACAAACGAAAACAATGATAGAGACTGGAGTCGTTCTTAGGGGTGTACATGATCCAATCCAATTCATCCAAACTGACCGATCCAATCCAATTCAATTTAATTTTAATCGGTTTCAATGATTTTAGCATATTGGATTAGATTCGTAATTTTCAAAATTGACATGATTGGATTAGATGACGGATTTGCTTATGAGAATCCAATCCAATCCAATCTTGTTAGTTTTATGCTTATTTTGCTCTTTTATATATATATATATATATATATATAAGCCAAAAGAATAGTCGCACTAGTAAAAGTAAAGATAAAAGCAAAGTTAAATGTTTTAAATGTCAAAAATTCGGTCATTATGCGTCTGAGTGTAAAGTTAAAGATACTATTAAACAATTAAAAATCACTAATGAAGATAAAGAAAAACTGATAAAAGTTTTAGAGTTGCGAGACTCTGAAGCTAGCCACACTGAGTCCTTAGTTGCCAGTTCTGAGTCCAAGTCTGATCAGTTTTCAGATTCACAGTTAAGTTCACCCACAGTTCAAATTGGTTACACAGATAAATGTTGTAACAGGTTAAAGTCTATTTCTGTTCTTACTAAGCAGGAAGAACAGGAAGAGTTGTTAATAGACTTAATAAGCCGAGTTGAAAACCCTGAGTTAAAATCTGAATATTTGAAAAAATTAAGAAAAGTCATCAGTCAGGAAAGCCCGAGTTCTTCCATCCCTCAACCGATAATTTTAAATACTACCTTAGAAAAGTTTAATAGAAAGAAAGAAGTTACCCTACAAGATTTACAGTTAGAAGTAAAAATGGTAAAAAAGGAAATAGTTGAGTTAAAACAGGTAAGTCATAAGTTGCAAACTGAAAATTATACGATTAAACAGGATCTAGTTCGCCTCCTAGAAAAGGAATCTTCTGAGTCTAGAAGCCAGTCAGGTAGTCCTCATCATTCCGATGACGAACCACCTAAACAAGCCGTAAATTTAATCCGCCAAGTTAACTTTAGAAAATGGTATTCTAAAGTAACTATATTTGTTCAAAATTTTGAGTTCACTACAGTTGCCCTATTTGATTCAGGAGCCGACCTTAATTGTATTCAGGAAGGTCTAATCCCCACCAAGTACTATCAGAAGTCTAAGGAATCCTTAAGTACTGCTTCAGGTAAATCCCTTCAGTTGAATTACGAAATCCCAAAAGCTCATGTATGTCAAAACAAAGTCTGTTTTAAAACCTCATTTGTCTTAGTAAAAAACATTACTGACGAAGTCATTTTAGGTTTACCTTTCATCTCTTTGTTGTATCCTTTTCAGGTAGATTATGATGGCGTCATATCCACCTACTTAGGAGAACAAGTCAAGTTTGAGTTTCTTTCTAAGCCTGAGATACATAATCTGAGAGCCTTACAGAAACAGTTCGTCTCTAAGTCTATCCAGGTTATTAGAAAAGTCAAACAGCTGAATTTTCTGAAAGAAGAAATTAAGTTTAAAAGAGTTGAACAACAATTAAGTAATGAGTCTTTACAGTTGCAAATCCAACAATTTGAAACTAAGTTAAAAGATGAAATTTGTTCTGATCTGCCTAACGCTTTCTGGTATAGGAAACAGCACGTTGTCAGTCTTCCTTATATCAAAACCTTTAGTGAGAAAAATATTCCCACTAAGGCTAGGCCAATTCAAATGAGTCAAGAGTTAATGGAATTCTGCAAAAAAGAAATCCATGAGTTGCTTCAAAAGAAAAT